ACAGTGGTGATCGGTCACCAGCCAGATGTAGTCCTCATTCACTACAACCCTTTGAGTCCTGCCTTTTAACCAATTTGTCACCCTGTGAACCTGCTCATCCCACAGTTGGACAACTTCTTCAGAAGGATGCTGTGAGGGACAGCATCAAAAGCCTCACTAAAATCCAGAAAACCTACATTCACTGCCTTCCCCTCATCCACTAGGTGAGTGCCCTTATCGTAGAAGGATATCAAAGTAATTAAATAAGACTTTCCTTTTGTGAATCTGTGTTGACTGTGCCTGATGATTGTTCTTCAGATGTGTTTCAAGGATACCCATAATGTCCTTACAATTTTTCCAGGAACTGAGGTTAGACTAACAGATCTATAGTTCCCTGGGTCTTCTCTCTTGCCTGTCTTGTAAATTGGAATAATGTTGGCTAGCTTCCAGTCAGCAGGGGCCTTGCCAGACTCCCAAGACCTGTGGTAGATGATCAAGAGAGATCCTGCCATAACATCCGCTAGCTCCTTGAGTACTGAGATGAATCCCATCAGGCAGCACAAACTTGTGAACATTCAGCTGATCTCTTACAATTTCATTGTCCACAGATGAAAAGTCACTGTTCCTGCACTCGTGGTCCTCTGGCTCACAGAACTGAGCAGCCCAAGATCTATCAGTATCATTAAAGACTGGGGAGAAAAAAAAAAAAGCATCGAATACCTCCACTTTATCTTCATCCCTATTAGTCAGGTGACCATAATCAACAACTATTGGTCCAACAATTTCTTAATACCACCTCTTGCTGTTAATGTACTTAACAAAGCCCTTCCTCATGTCAGATACAGTACTGGCCAGTTTCCACTCTAATTAAGCTTTGGCTTTTCATCATACATGCACATTTCAGAAAGGCTGCCTTGAATTTCTGGAGGAGCTTCTGTCACTTGCAAATTTTGGTTCCTTCTTCCTTGTGAGGAAAGAAATTAAATTTAAAATATAAATGAGATTTGTGTGTAATATAGTGACATGTTCTCAAGAAGTTCTAATTTTTTAAATGAAAAGATTTGGCTTTTAAATGATTTTGTATTTTGGAGAGGAGCGGGGGAAAAAACAAATACCAAACTTGAGCTAAGTCATAGTCTGAATAAAAATAGATCCTTAAATTTAATCTTGCAGCCTCGTTCCCAAGTACTTCGGAGTCAAGAACTCTGAAAAGTCAAGAGGATTTATAAACTCCTGATGCCTTAAGGGACACTTACTTTTCTAAAGTCTAGGACTGGTGGTGACCACCATTGGTGGTACTGTAAGAGCCTAAGAAGTAGTTTCTCCTTTGCAAATGCCTTTCAGTATGAGATGGAATTTTGTTATGCTGCTGTTGTGTTTTTTTGTTTGTTTTTAAGTAATAGGTATCTGAACTGTTGTGATCAATGCTTTGAAGTACTGCAAGTATGCTAAAGATATAGGTTGGAAAAGATCTTTAAAGGTCATCTAGTTTGACACCCCTGTAGTGAGCAGGGACATCTTCAACTAGATCAGGTTGCTCAGAGCTCCATCCAACCTGACCTTGAATGTTTCCAGGGATGGGGCTTCTACCACTTCTCTGGGCAACCTTTTGTGCCTGATTTCTTGCGTCTTGGGATCAAGAGCTCTTCCACTCTATGGAAAGTGTCCTTAAAGGTCTGCCAGCTCTGCTCGGCTCCCTTGTCCCTGGGGGCAGTTTCCCAGGGAGTCCTATTGAATAATTCCTTGAAGAGCTGGAATTTTGCTTTCCTAAAGTTCAGGGTTCTGACTTAACTCTCTGCCTGACCCATATCACTTAGGACTGTGAACTCCACCAGCGCGTGAGCACTGCAGCCCAGGCTCCCTCCAGTCTTGACATCACCGATCAGCTCGCTTGCGTTGATGACCATCAGGTCCAGTATCGCTTCCCTTCTGGTAGGGCTGCCTATCACCTGGCTTAAGAAGTTATCCTCCATGCACTCCAGGAGTCTTCTGGATTGCCTACAGATCACTGTGCTACTTTTCCAGCAGCTAACTGCCAGAAAGTGAAAATTTAAATTGTTTTGTTTCCAAGTAGAGGCAGTCATATTATAAAACAAGTACCTAAAGGCCAAATCAATTACACATTAATCTCTAAATGCATGATAAGTGCCAGCTCTGGTAGTATTAGAGATGTAAATGTTTCAGATGACTTAAATTCTTGCAAAGAATGATTTTTACTTCATTTTGCGTAGATAACTAGAAAAATACGCATGGGGTAGTGGAGTTGCATTATCATTGGCAAGGAAGAATGTCCTTCATGCCAGAATCTCCAGAAGATTTTCCTGGCCTTCTCAATGCTGCTGACTAATGCACCAAGTCCTGTTTCAAACAGTAGTCTGGGTTCAGCTGTCAGTGTGTAGTGTGCCTAGCACTGTATTGTCGGCCGGCAGCTGTGTTCTGGGTTTGTTGGCACAAAAGCAACAGCCATTTGGTTTTAATGAAAAAAAGAAAATAAGGCTGGCAAGGGAAATATTTTTAAGAGGTAGCAAACTATGTTTTTATTTTTCTGTCTCAAAACAGAGGGCATTTTAGCTAATTATGTTTTCTAAACATAATTGGAACAGTACATCTGAGCTACAAAAAAAATAAATTGAAAGAAGTTGGAGGAAATGCATCGTTATTAACTAGGGAGAGTTGACTTCCTTTTTTACTCCATGTGTTACTGTAATGTAGGAACAGGAAGAGCTTCAAATTGCTTGCAAAACTTCTACTTCCCTGCTGTTGCAATGGTAAAAGACTAGAAATGGATATGTAAATAATAAAAAAGAAATGTCTATACATGACAGCTCTGTGGTTGGAATATTGATTACAAGGTATAAAATCACTTAAGTTACTCCAGTCTGTATCTGTAGATTGGCTGAAGGAGAGTGATGATGGTGAGCAGGAGATTTGGGAAATGACCAGCAGGAAGAAGGAAGGGTGCACAAAGCACAGATACTTAACTTTGCTGGGTGGCAAGGGCATAGGCAACATAAGAGCAAATGACTCTTGGTGTTGCCCTCTCCCTGTTGGTCTCCTTTCAAAGAATACATGTGTGTATCTACATTAGCAGGATTTTTGATCAAAATTTTGTTCTTGCAGGCACTGACAAGACCATTAAATTAAAATTTGGGTTTGAAATCAGTATGTCTGAATTATTATAAAATTCCACTCATTCTTACAAATTATTCAGAGGGGGCTTTCAAAAGGCATAACCTGTGCTTTTTAAAGGTACCACTCCTATTCTGTTTCTTAAAAGAAAGGATTTGTGGGCATCTGTTCCAGGAAAAGATGCAGAATTCCCTTGTAGTACAGAGTAACGGGGCCTCGAAGGTTTCCCCTGTCTGTGGCTATGGTGAGGGGCATACCCCCCTCAATACCCTCTTGGCATCCCTGTCTGGTGCAGCTCACTCTGCCCTCAGCCTGCTGGGCAAAAGCTAAGGTGCCTAACTCAGGTGAGGTTGTGCTGGGCTGCGCCCACCTTGGTTAGATTTCAAATGCTGCATAGCTGGGCCATCCCTGACCCTTGTTGGATCTGTCTGTAGGTGTTTGTTTCCAAAAATAACGAGGATCATCTTTTTTTTTTCTCTCTAGAAAAGTTGATTGCATATCAACGGGAATTTCATGCTTTGAAGGAACGTCTTCGTATAGCTGAGCATCGCACTCTGCAGCGCTCTTCTGAGCTGAATGCTATCTTGGAGCAGTTCAGGCGTGCAGTAGCAGAAACAAATGGGAGTAAGAATGCAATGAATAATTTTTCAGGTACATGCTGTTTTTTTGTAACTCTGCATTACTAATATCTCTTCTGGTTAGTACAGAATAAGAAGTTAATACCAAGAAAGCTGAATGAAACTGTTCAGTGGTGCGAATAGAGACTGTGTAATACATTGTATCTGGTGGAGATTTTTTTGGTTTTTGTTTTTTCCAATTTCTGTTCTTAATGATCCACCCACACTTCATTCTTATTTTAGGGACTGAATATTTATTCCACACCTAAGTCCAAAAGTTTGGAACTTCTAGTTACTTATTCAATGTACTGAATATATTTTGACAATAGTTTATGTCACTTTTTTAAATAGAGCTTGAGGGGAAAGATGAGAAAACAGAAGAAATGGATGAACTTGAAGCAATTAAAATATGTTTAAATGTCAGCTGGAACATCTAAAAACATACAGGCTAAGTTATTGGTTATTATTTGTAAAATGTACAGGTAACATCCTTCTTAATAACTAGTGATTAAATGGTAAACTGGTAAAATCTTCTGTAAGTTTTTACCCATTTTGGAGGCTGATGCTCAAGTTTAGAGACATGTGTTTGGCAATATTAGAGAATGCCTTTGCACTACACACCAGATTGTTGATGTTAACTTTCAGAATCACACTAGTACCACTTTAGTCACTCTGATTTTTCTAGAAGGAAAATGAATAATGAATAAATACAAACTTTCTGGTGAGAGGTCTGATTCGGTAGGTTGCAGAAATTTCACTATATTGGACTAGTGAGGAGTATAAACTCAAAGAATTTTACAAATCAGAAAACTGGATCAAACTTTTAGAACCTGTTGTCTACTTGCATTTGTGCTATGGGTTACTATTTTCTATAGAATTTTTTATTTGGGGCATGAGAATGGTTGTTATAGTTATAGGCCCTCAGTGCTGATATTAATGATGAGTTGCTCTGACACTAATGGCCTGTCTGACCTGATCTCTGTAGTTCACTGGATCTCCAGGAATGGTATGGATAAAGATTGCATGTAACATAGTCTGTGACTTGTCTTCCTATTCTGTGTGTGTGTTTCTGCTATTAAAGTGAACACCCATAGAGGAAGTCAAGTAATTTTGATACTGGATTTATGATGAAGTTATTTCCACATTTACTTCTAAAAATGAGTTAACTTGCTTATAGACAATATAGTTATAGGGAGTTATTCTTTTCTGATGCAGCTGAAGTTACTGATTCACATTTTCAACGTTCTACCATGTCTGGATTCCAGCTGGGACATCCTCTTTTTTCCTTGTGGATCCACAGCTGAAGTCTGAATTCCTGAGCTTTTTGTACTCAGAACTTAGTATTAGATAGATTTTTTTTTTTTTTATTTTTTTTTTGTATATTAAGTTTAATGTATGTAGGTATACATAGTACCATGTAGTATTTGCTATCTTTGAAGCTGAAAGAATTCCAGATTGTTTTATGTAGATCATTATTCATTCCTGTCATACTTTTGACAGAATTTTTAGTCCAGCTTTTGAAGTTCAAACTAAAGGAAATGTTAGCAGGAAAAGTAAAATGTACCTGTATTGGAATCTATCAAAATAAGCATCTCTACTTACGTCATCTATTTACAAAGCTTTTTTCAAGATCATAAGTGGTTAGGAATTTAGTTTCACCAAAAAATAAATATTAAAAAACCCCAAGCAAACCAAAACTCACAACAAAACCCTTCTATCTTTGTAGAAGCTACACTCAAAGGTCCATATGCTGTCATATTTGTAGTTTGAAGTGAGTTGTTTTCACACTTGGTGTAAGAAAATCAGCGCACACAGCAGGGGAATTTAAAATCTGTTATTTGTGACTTTGAGAGCCACCTGGACATCCTGAGAGGCAGTAACTCTATAAAGAGCAATAATTATTTTAAGTACTTTTATGGACTAAATTAAATTCACATTAACATTTATTTTGCTGCAGAAATACTCAAAATCTCAATTGTATATTTAATGCTATTTTTGTTTTGTATCTGTGTGTGCAATGTGTTCCAATATGTATTTGTAGCTTTGGAAAGTTATTTGCAGTAGCATCACTAGATGGTGATGAGCTCTGTAAGTGTAAATAAAAAATAATCTGTGTACATAAGCATCCCATATTGATTTGTTGGAAAAAACCCCCAAAACTGAAACCACGAAATAAATGGAGCTTTCTTTATTTCTGTGATTGCACACTAAGTCTTATGTGATCAGGTAAGTATTAACTATATCCATAGCAAGGTTACTGGGTGGAAAATAATCTCTGCCATCGTTTATTTAAAAAGTTAAAATGAGATATAATGCCTCAGTAAAATGCATCATTTATTCTTTTTTTTCAGTTAGGACCAACATTGGAATTTTGTAGTATTTACCACTTCATATTATTTGGTTTCTGCATTACTGATTTCATGTATGTTTGCAGATGAGACGCTGAAATTGTTAAAAGAACTAACAAGTAGAAAATCTCTTCAAGTGCCAAATATCTATTACCATTTGCCTCATTTGTTGAAAAATGAAGGAAGCCTTCAACCTTCTGTGCAGGTTGGCCTTGGAAGGACAGGAGGTAGGTATGCTGATATGATGTTTATTTTGTGTTTTATATCTGGAAGACTTTCTAGTTTTAGTAATATAATTTACTGCATTACTTAGTAGATCAAGGACATCTCATTTAACTTGTGTGATATTGATATCTCTTAGAATTCGCACTGAATCCAAGATGAAAGGAGTTTGGCTTCAGCTTTGCTCTTTTCTGCATAATCTCAATCACACTTCATGACATGTGAAGGTACACATTAAGAAGCATTTATTTGAAAGAATTTTTTGTAATGAAGTAAAAGGGACAAAGCTCAAGTATTACAGATTCTGAGCTGCTAATGGACACATCCTTTTGGCTTTTCAGATTTGTGGGACAACCATTCATGGATACAGTTATTTTAGAGTTGATGTTTCTGTTTTTTTGAATAATATATTTCCACGTATAACTTCGAGTTGGGAGAACTAGGATAACGAGATATAATTGCATCAAAAAATGTGGCCATTCATTGAAGGTGGGGGGAAAAAAAAAAGTGTGGTGCTGCAAGGCTGTTTTTTAATCTTCCAAATTCGAGCTTTGGTCATTAGGGTAGCTCCATGGAATCCCACTCTTGAAGCTCTGGAAAATAAATAGCGTAAAGCCCAACCAAGTTGATATACCTCAAAGCATATGTGTGTATATATATGTGTAAGCTTGAAGGCCCCTCCAATGAATCCTTGTTTCTCTGTGTGCCATCTGACTTGAATAGCTTGTATTACTGTCTGCTAGGCCTTTCTTTTCTTCCTTCCCCTGCCTCCTTGCTTTTAAAAGAAGCATTAAGTACTCCTGGCCTGTATTTTTTTCATTACTTCATTAAGTTTGGTTCCTCCTTTGTTTAACAGAAGGCATGCCTGTGTGACAAATGTATGGGCTCAAGCCATAGGGTTATTTTTCTGACTATAAGCACCATTTATTTCAATGTTGTTATTCAGGAAGGAAAAGGCTCATACTCCTTTATTATTTTAAGTGAAGCCTATGTTATATGCCACTGGGAATATATGACAGAAGTTTGAAATGACAAAATAAAAATTGGAATTAGGTTTATTTAATTAAAAAGAGGGAAGAAATTCTGAGTTAAAATTATTTTTCCATCTTCCTCCTTCCTGGTCACTGTGCTTTTTGAGTGTTTGTTTTAAAAGTTCAGAGCTTGTTAATGCGTAGTTGCTAGGTGAAGCAGGCTCTATAAGGAAGGATAAACAACATTTTTAATAGTTGTTTGATTTTATATATTTATGATGTGGTAAATAATTTCACACAGATGACTCAGAACGGTGGTGCTGACTTCATGAAGTCTGCTTTATCCTTTTAGTGTGTTCCTGCTGCTGTCTGCTGTGTTCCTAGTAGGTAGCCAGCCCTGAGTATGAGGTGGGGTGCAGAAGAAAGACTATGCGAAAGTTAAGGAACACAGGAGTCAAAAGGCCAGTTGAAAGGTAGTGTTAATGGTGGTGTAGCTGGGCCCAGATTGTTTTGCATTTGAGGTGCTTTTAACAGGGATAAGATATTTCAGTGAGGAATTTCCGGGCAATCCTGATGACCTGGAATTGTTTTTCTAGAAGAACCCAAATCAGGTGCAAGGAAAGTAATAGAGTTTTTTTCAACAGTGTAATTTTAAGATAAAACTTCTTAGATTTTAAATACTTGAATTGTGAAGAATGGTTGAAAATAAAATTTGAAAATAAAACTAAGTTAGGGTGTTTAATAATTCTATAACTCTTGGTGTACCTTATCTGATTATTACCATGGTTGTTTATTATTAACTATGCAATGGTCTGCCATATTTAGGATTATTGTTTTTTGTTTGCTGTGTTTGCTCTGAGTGTTGGTGGTGATTTTGTTGTTAATCATGCTCCTGATGATGGGTGGTATATTTTAAAACTATTTTAAATTACTGTTATCTCCATCTTTTAACTCTTTGCATTTCTTAAGCATGCTTTATTATGAAGTAAAATTTTTGTTTTCTGTCCTGTGTGTGAAATCACTAAAAGTGCATTTTGATTTGTTTGATTTCAGTTTCCATTGTAATGGGAATACCTACAGTGAAAAGAAAAGTCAAGTCTTACCTTACAGAAACCCTTCACTCCCTTATTGATAAGCTCTCCCCTGAAGAAAAACTGGATTGTGTTATGGTCGTCTTTATAGGAGAGGTAATCACTTAAATATTTTAATACAATTTCTAAACTGCCTTTAATTACAAGTACCACTCCTTTCAGGAATTGACGAGGATCTACTTTTTCTTCAAGGTGTAGACAGATGACTGTCTTCTCCTGTGAAAAAGAGACAGTGTCAGTCTTGTGTTTCTGAGAGAAACGATTGTGAAAAGCCCATCTTTTTCTGTTTATCAAGGGAATAGTGGACATGGATTCATTGGACTGGTTATTTTGCAAATCTTTTGATGCTTATACCTAGTGACAGAGGTGTGCTTGATTACCTTATTCCTTCAACATCAAAATAATGGCTGGTGTAGGAAGGATTCTTCCCATTCTCTTCATGCTACTCCTTAGTTCCTCCTCAAATGAGTGCTGCAGTTTGAGATGTTAGGCACGGATTGTTACTGATTTTATTGTCTGGGTGGTGTGGATATTGTAAGTCCAGACCTTTTTAATGAATTAATTCAAACAGTATTCAGTTGAACGATTGGTCAGTTTGGCACTGGTTTAGTGGAAGTCAAATTCAGGAAAATGCTAGAATGCTTTCAGAAATAATTCTTGTGGCTGCTGGGAATTGTATATACTTATTTTGGTCTGTATGTTTTTCTCAAAAGTGACTTGGAGAGTGGGAAATTTGTATATATGTTGCCCTTCATCCAGCTAACCATATAGGGCTCTACAGAAACAGTGTTTTATGAGTCCTGCAGATGAAAATCTGATCCTCTAGGTATAACAGTGGAAACTTAATCCTGTGAGCCAGTGTCCATTCAGGGATGAATCAGTGGAAAATCAGATAAGCATTTTAATACTTCTATTATCAGCACATTTTAAAGCTTTCCTTGAAAAGTTTGTAAACTTTTTACTTGTACCTGAGAACTGATTCTTACGGTTTTCTAATATAAATCGCTCTGTTTTATTTTTCTTGACAGTCAGTCAAAAACTATCTGTCAAGGTAGATACTGCTTTTCTGCAGAAAATACTCATAAAACATCTTTGAGAATCTCAAGAGAATCAAATTCATTCTGAATTACTAATATAATGCTGAGTTTTCTGCCCTGTGTTAGTTGCAGTAATTTTATTTATTGCCTTTTAGTGTGGCTTCTTTTCAGGGTTTAAAACTGAAGTTTCATTTTGTTTTCTTAAGGACATCTGAACTGTGAAGGCTGTGTGTTATCATTGGATTCTCTGTCTTCTGCAAAACTTAGGAGTGAAGAGAATCCATGCTCTGTCCCCAAATGCACAAGTTTCTCTTACTGCCTTTGACAAGCCATATTGCAATACCCAAGTTTTCTATAGCTAAATAACTTCCTTTCAGGTGTTGTGAAATTATCATTCATCTTGGGAATGATTCTACAGAAGTGGCGTGAAGGAACTGGACATTTTAACATGGGAGCTATTGCTTCTGTGCCTAAGGAGAATTGTGTGGTTTGCTCCAGGGTGGGACAGTGTTACCCTCTGTATCTTCCCTCTGTATCTATCTGAGAGCAGCACTGTGCTTACTTACAAACCTGCTATGGACGCTGCAAGCCATGAACGTCTGGGAAAATTTGAAGAATCTAAGTTTAATTTCTTGTCCTGTTATAACTGTTCCTTATTTTTGCATTTCTTTTTCTTTACTCCATCCAATTTTATGTCTTCCCTGCTGTACTATTTATTTGACCATGTTTTATATTTTCTTAAGTTCAATATCTTATAGTTTATTTTGTTATTGCTACAGGGAACTATTTCAATTAATAATATAGTACAGTAAATACTTCATCCTGAACTATGCTGTGTTTTTTCTGAGTAATGCTGTGTATTTCAGCTTCCTTCTGCAAGATGAAAAGTATAGATTTATTAAGCATTTTCTCTGTCTGTTTGAAGGAAGGCCTACTCCTTTGGTGGACTTCTGTTTCTCCTTAAACAAAAGGAAGGGCTTTAGCTTTTAAAATAGCTTTGTCTGTGGGGTTTCCTAGCCTGAAATGTGTTAGACTATTGATATCACTAACATGTGTGCATTAATGAAGGCTTATTTAAAAATACATTAGAACTTTGAACAACCAGGCTTGCATTAAAAATGATGGCAAAAGTTTCTGAAAAAAAAATGGCCTATGCTCAGTATATGTGCAATTTAAGTACAGCAAGTAATGGTCATAGTGTGAGGTTAGGTAATTTTGCTGATAAGCTTAAAATTACTATTTTTGCTTTGTTTATAGCTTGTACCAACAAAAAAAGCACAAGACTTTACTGTTTTTACAAGAGAATTATGTGGAGAAAAAAAAAAAGTATTTTAAAAGGATTTTAGTATTTTCTTGGTGACTTTATTTGACAAATCAAATTGACAGTGTTGAAGAAGCATTGCTGGAAACCACAGTAATGGTCTGTAATCTCTTGTGCTAAGCACTCTCTTTTAATCCTGCTATTTTTTTTTTTTTATCAGTTCAATCTCACTCCTTTCTTGTAAATTTGACTTTTTTGCTAGAAAACAACTTGAAAATTAAGGCTAATGGCCTTCTGCAAACAGCATGAACACTGTAAACAGATGAGCTAGTAAATATAGATGCATTATGGTTACTAAATAGAGAGATCTGCATATTCATTTACTATATGGATATTTCTCACTAATGTAAATATACACAGTAAATTTCCATACTGGAAGTTCAAGGAATTCTAAAATATCTTGGCTGATGTGATATCTAATCACCAATTTAAATAATTACTAATATTGCTTGACAGTAAACTGTGCAATTGTCCCAGTAACTGACATATGTCTGTGTTCTCCAACTCGTTAAAATAACTTTATTGCAGAATAATTTGCAGGTATTCATTAGGATGACTAATAAATAGGCATGATTCATTATACCTCTATAGTTAAAAATCTTTTTATTCCCCTTCACTATGTAGCTGGTTCATAGGCTCATCAGATGACTTGAAACAAGCAATTCAAATCTCATAAACCTGCTGTGTATGAGAACTTGCTTTCAGAGTAGACTATAGGCTCTAGATTTAAGAAACTATGAACTACAGATTCAAATGATTGTCTAATATTTTTATTTAATAGAGTTTCTAATTAACGTGGGAAACATGCTTTTGAAGTGCTTTACATCATCATAGTGGAACACATACATATATATTTATGCACACAGTATTGAATATGAGAGAAATTAAAATACTTTTCTGGTATCTATTTTTTTTTTTTCCTGTGGGGAGATCTCATTTACCATGAAGAAAATGAATCTCAGACTTGTTCTAAATATATCACAAACTATTATCAGTCCACTTCATTAATCAGTGACTGCACTTAGCACAGTCTTTCCTACATACAGTAATCAGTGTATATTGGAAAGACTATAAGCCCTTGATTTGAGCAAATGTATCAGAAAGACAAATCATTTCAGTAAGAATCAGAAGACACTGATACGTGGCAGCATTTTGCTGATTCTGTACACTAGCGAGTACATCTGACTAGGCAGTAACTCACCAGCCATTTGTTCTTGGAGCACTAGTTTGTACGTTACACTTTCTTGCATATTGCTTATTCAAATCGTACTCTGATGTTTCATGTGTACGCAAGGCACTTGGGCTAGAAAAAGTTACATTTCTTGAGTATCTTTTACTATGTGATCTCTTTATGTAAACAGTGGCTGATAATTTAAGGGAGTTGATCTTTAGTAGTTGTGGTAGTTTCAGCCACAGCTAAGACCATGTGGTCCTGCACTCCCCCCTTCCCCCCAGTGAGTTGGGGAGAGAAACACAACAAAGGGCTCATGGGTTGAAATGAGGACAGGGAGGGCTCTCTCAGTGATTATGGTCGCAGGCAAAACAGATTCAACTTGGGGAAGAAAAATCAATTTAATTCATTAATCAATCAGAGTAGGATAGTGAGACACAGCCACCACATCTTACAACACCTTCCCCCACCCCTCCCTTCTTCCTGGGCTCAAACCACTTTACTCCAAATTTCTCTACCTTCTCCTCCCAAGCATCACAGGGGCCAGGGAATGGGGGTTCAGTCAGTTCACTTCTGCTGCTTTTTCCAGCATGAGGTCCCTCCCATGGGCTAAAAGAGTTCAGGAACAAAGTGTTCCAACACGAGCTTACCATAGAGTCATGGCCCTCTTTGGGGACAGCTTCTGGCTCCAGCATGGGGACAACCATGGGCTGCAGACAGGTCTCCAGTCCAGCGCACCTCCTCACCCTGCTCTGGCATTGAGTGTCTCTGGGGTCTCCTTGCTCAGTCACAACTGCCCTCGGGCACAGCTTTCTGCTCCAGCATGGAGTCCTCCATGGCCTACATGTGGGTTCTGCTCTGCCATTGAACCTTCATGGGCTGCAGGGGACCTCATTTACCTTCCTTTTGTTCTTTCTGCATGCTGATCTGGGTGTCTGAAGTTCTCTGTCTTCCCCCTCCTCCTCCTTTCTCAAGGCAAGGATGCTCTTTTTGTTCAGGTCAGTGGTCTCTCCTCATGATTCTCTCCCCTTCCTTGCCAAACTGGTTCTACCCCACATAAATATTGATTCGAAGAGGCATTTCCCTATCACTAATTGGTTCAGCCTGGGCTGGAGGCAGGTCTGCCTTGGAGCCAGGGGAGCTTCATGAAGCTTCTCACAGGGTCCATCACTGTAGCCCCTTCCCCCACTACCAAAAACGCCATGTGCCCCACCCCCAACACAGTAGTGCTCTCAATCCTCCCTTTGTGGAGAATCTCTTTTTCATTATTATTTCTTTGGAAAAGTTTCTGTATTGGTTTGGTCAGCGTGACACAAGCACCCAGCAAGGTACCATCCTGTGTGCTGGTATGAGCAGAGCCTTAGCAAAATAAGCACTGAGTGCACATACTGGGTCAGACCTTGCTGAACCTGTTTTGGATATATTAACTTTGGAGTGCAATATGGAAAACTTCTCCAGCAAAATAAACAAGACTGTTTTCACCTCTTTTTGCTCTGGGCCTGAATTATAGATCTCTCTGATCACCAGATCTCTTGACAGAAAACAAAGGAATTTTTCATCTCTCTTG